ACCTTTGGTCACGGTGCAACGGGTGCCTCGTCTGCATCAAAGATTCGATGAACCGTTAGCCGCTTTGACGCTGATTACGAGATGAACTGCGATTATTGCATCATGCAAATGATTTACACTTTGATGATTTCTGGATGTGTCAGATCTATCCCTGTTCCTATTTCTCTCTTTCTTTCCTTTCCTGAACCTTCTGTATTTACCAAAAGCTTTCTAAATTAAACGCAAATACATCTATTTAACGATACATCTGTATCGAAGAGTTTTATTAATTAATAATTGCATGCATATGTTACAAACAATACTCGTATAAGATATTTCAATACAAACACGAATATCTTGTGTCTATACATTTTTTTCAATTTTTTTATACTGTTTTGATGGAATATTAAGTACATAGTTTTTATCCGGAGATTGGACATTATTTCAACAAAGAATTACATTCTGACAGCGGAAATCCAAACAGAATTAATTCCGGCGAGGTAACGTGGATTTCGAGTCCTCTTAAAGTAGGATTTCGACGACTTCGAGGGTCCCTAAAATCGCCCTCCTCGCCTAAGCCCGATCCTCAGTAACGAGTTCCACAAGATCGAATTAATTCTAATCAAGCCAATTCATTGACCCAAAGAAAGCTTACTTTGATGTGATTTAAGAAAGTAATACGCGATTGTATGCATTAATATTTCATCAATTTTCGACCAATACAATGCTATTAAAATAACTAACTCGCCGTTTTTATTGTATATTTTTATATCAAACCTCAAAGACTTTAGATAAAAAGAAAAATCTTGTCACGTAAGCTTGGAATCCAGAGCTTAGTAGAAAATCGAATAGCTAAGCGCTACTGTTTATCTTAAGAGACTTAACGATTTTTACGTGGTTTTGTAAGTTTAAACATTTGAAATTGGATTTCATTCGACTTCGAACGAGACTATGCAATTAAGATGTATTCAGATCCATTTGTCAGCTACAAATGGAGAAATTGTAGATGTCTACTGCGTCGATTTAGAATGGTCTCCATTAACGCTGACAAAAATTCGCAGCGAATTGAGAAGGAAAACATGTCAGGGCCCACTGTGTAAACACTTAAAATTTAGCGTATGCAAGCAAGTTATTCAATTAAAAGTTCAATTCAAATGCACACATATAGTTCATGAGAGTTTAGTCATAGTGTGTGTGTGAGTGTGAAAGAGAGAGAGTGAGAGCCGTGCCGAATGAAACTCGAGTTGCACGCGGAAAGGCTCTCTTCTGCGTTACCGCCAGAGCGGCTGTGGCGACGCTGAATTAGCCAAGATATTTATCTTAGCCCACAATCACGACGAGGACCCGAAACACGACTGTAGAATCTAAAGCAGCCGCGTACGCGTGCGCCCTCTTGCTCTCTTCGCTCCCTAGTGTTCGCGAGCGTGCTATGCCCAGAGGTACTGTTGTAAACTTGTAAACTTTCGCGTTGTTTGTCTCCTCCTTCTCGTTTCGCTTTACCACTGCGCGCACTACTTGCCAATCGTCTTTCATTATAGTTAATTTTTAATTTACCATACGCCTGTGCACCACTAGGGGTTGTGCCTGCCGTGCTTCTCTTCCGAAGTCGTTGCATTTAACGGACTTCATGGCTGCTAAAAGTTTCATTCAAGTATGTGCTGTATCACTCTTCTAACAAAATTAAATCGTATGCAAGTTTGAAATATTACGTTAAAATACAGTATGTGACGTTAAAGTACAGTAATGGATAATATTAATTATACATTAATGTTTGAGTTTTTAAACGCTCTCTCAATTGTTATGTTAATACTCATTCTAATTTTGTAATGAATAGCGAGTCTAATAAATAATCCAGATAGTCATGGAAATAAGTTTACGAGGATAGCATCCAATTGGAATTTCTTTATAAAAGAATTTCTGATCTATTTTGATGGCGATTCAATCGCATCGAGATAGACATCGAATTAATGACAAAAGCACTCTCAGTGTCAAAGTTAAGTACTCAATCCTGTTCGAGTTTCAACATCTAGCTCTTCTGAAAAGAATTGTATAACTATTCTCATGTCAAAAGCGATCTACCTATTCTTAAAGCTTGTCAATGCAAACTAATTAGTAAGGCGTGATTGAGATCAATACTTGGAATGGTTTATCTCCACCAACTTGCCGTCGTGATGCAGCAGCTCTCAAGCCGAAGCCAACTCGATTAAAGTTGCATCCAAGCCAGTAAGCAATTCGTGAAATACTTTGAATAGACTACGATAGAATTCCTAGCGACATTCGACAAATGAGAGTGACTCTAACTTGTCTTATCAACTCATTCGGGCTTGATGAGTTCGATAATTGAATTTGGTTTATTTATCTGTACACAATTTTTTCGAACCTACTGAAGAAGATCAATAACTTTGAAAATATCTCACATCCATTCATTTCTCACTTCTCTTCCTCTGCCTTCATGGATTCTGCCCTTTTTTAAATTTTGAAATATTTTTCCGGCCGACCATATTCGTTGATATCGAAATATCAAATAAGCCATCCGTAACAGCTCCCATTTTGAATGGCCTGAGGCTCTTTTTTTGATTTTTTGAGATCGATAGCTCGTATTGTGACAATAAAACTTGGTGGCAAATGCAATAAAAATTCCGCTAACGGGAACTATTCCAACCTCTAACAAAAGAAAATACATAGCTGTGGCTCTATTTTGTTATAAATCAACACATTTGTCATCCGAAAAAGCAATAAATTTAGAATTTTCGTAAAATATTGACTCTTGAGATTTTTTATAAAAAAAATTCATTGATAGTACCAATAAAAGCTCGTTTGAGAACCACAACATCAAGAAACTTGTTTATTTGCATTTGTTATATTTGCAGGAACAAAATTAATTGAACTCGAAAGTAGCATCTTGTCAAATTAAACAGCACGACGAAACATAATTATGGTGTCACAAGACCTTAACCGACTGAAGCAAGATAAAATCAAAGGTCGTTTGTACTTGCCATCAGCAAAGATACTTATCATCGAGCTTCGGGCGCTCACCCCCCCCCCCCCCCCCCCGGTATCCACGCTTTTTGCGTTTCTGTCAGTGGCAACACTCGACGAGAATACTTGACATGTGTTATGCAGTTCGCCTTGATATTTATTTTTTTCAAGATACATCTTTATGAAGTATTTAATTTGCCAGTCATATCAATTTTTAGTCTTTCATTTTGACATTTTAATTATACCGTGCGCCTTTTATTTCATCGTCAACGGACTGTCAACTGACTTATGATGACAAAGTACGTTCACAAAGAAAATTTTAACGAATCTATGTAAACTTATTTACAGAGTTTCTATTTGTAGTGCCAAACAACTGTACATTCTCAGATAACGATGTGTAATTAAAAATCTGATATAATATAAAGACATTTAAATAAGGGAGCATCCTACTCAACCGTAAATGTAAAGGGTATTTACTAAAACACACACACACACAAAACAAAAAATAAAAGGTCGAGTAAGTCAGCGGGAATTTTCCAATTACAAAAGAATACTCGCTCGCAGCATGGCATGTAATAACCATCGAAAAAAGACGTAAACCAACGAAATTCCAATTTCCTCGACAATGCCACCGCAACATGGCCAAAAATCATGTTACGAGGTCGCATCGAATAGCCGACCAGTAGCAGCAGTAGAGGCAGACGCGTGCACGCACATAACCTCGAACCTACAGAGGAAGAGAAAGCGAGAGAGCGAAAGCGCATTGTTGGCCTAGTAGCCAAGCAAAACGCGCGACTATAAGGTCCTGCGTAATACTCGCTTTCAACCCTTATCTGGCAATACAGTAGCACGAGTGAGAGAGCGGTAGCGGCTGATTAAACTCGGGTTTTATAGGCATTACGCGTGTCTGCGTTACACCGGCTTTACACACATACATCTACACTTACCAAAAGTTATTTTGACATGTTTTATGACGTCGAAGAATTTCATTTTGATGGAGAAATACTTTTAGTCAGTCGTAAATGTCTGTGTCCCGTCAAGCACCTCAAACTCAAAAGAGGTGAAAAACGTGTCGCACGTTCGTCTACTTTGATGCAAGATTAACGCTCGCTGAGGAGATTACAGAAAAAAAGCAGCTAGAACAAGAAAGCAGTTTTGTTAATTATTTCTACGAAAATGGGTGCGCTATTGGCTTTGGCGTTTCGCCGTTCTATATATATGTGTATGTACGTAATAACAACAAACCGAGCAGTTTGTGCTTCTCTGGCAGCTACCGAAAAGTAGACGCGCGAAACGCTTAATCCAGTGCCGTACCGAGACAACGAATTCTCTTTTTGTACCATTCCCTGCCTTCGTACCTCCCTCCATCCCCCACCTCTCACTCGCTCTCTCTCTCTCTCTCTCTCTCTCTCTCTCTCTCTCTCTCACTTTCTTTCTCTTTACGTGTTTCCCTCATTAACTCGTCACACTTGTATTATGGAACGCGCGCACAGAGCGTTGGCCAAGTGGGCCAGCTCGGAGTTGGAATTTTTAAAATTACGTTAACGGTTATGGCTTGGCTAGGGGTAGGTTGGTAGAAAATAGTATTACGTAAGTAGTAACGGTAAGAGTCTTGTTAGACACTGTATAATTGTATTTTTCTTGTGCATACTAACGCTATTGTTAACGTTCTTTCTGCTGTATTCGTCTACTGATAATTAAAACTTAAATTGCTAAATGAATTGGCCACTGCATTTATGTTTTACTATCAGAGCACCAAGTGCTCTTGAGTCTTCCTATTTGTGCCTTTGTACTACAAATTGCATTCTATAAAAAAACTCAGTCCACGGTTGTTGAGAGAGCGCAGTTGTAAATGAGTAAGAGCATTAGTTGTCATGTACACGTGAAAATAATAGAAAAGCTTTTCATGAAATAGATATTTTATTACATGCCCATTTATAAAAGCCAAGAAAGTTTTTATTAATCACTCTCTTCTCCGTGAACACTGCCACGCTGAAAGTTATGTAATACAACCATGTCACGCAATGTTTCTATGATTGCAGGCCAGGACGCAGGCATGGGTCTGCCACCATTACTAGGCGTACTGGTCGGTGCTCTGGTTACGCTTGGCATGATAATAGTGGCATTGGGGATGCGAGCGAGACGAGAGCGTGGAGTCGCGGTAGCGAGTAAACCTCAGCGCCAAGAAAAGCCTGCCGAGTTAAGTGAGCTGCCCGTCCAGCAGTACGCCCTCCAAAGCCTCGAGCAGACCGTGGAGACCGATCCCGACGTCATACCCAACAAGTTCGGTAAGTTGACCCTCGGGACACGTTACCCAGTTGCTGCCACTGCTAGTGCATTTGCATACGAGTTCTACCTGCGTGTGCATGCTTTTTTTTCGTTTCTCAATCGACGAAATGGTTTGACCTACGTCGAGCATTTTTACGCTTAACCCTCCGCTACTCATATTTGCTCTTTTCATTTTTTAAAGTTCCAAATTTCATGAAAATGTTCTTCGCATGTTTCGAAAGCACTGAGTTGCTGGCTTTGTCGTTACGTGTACTTCTTCGCTCTCTTCCACCTCTCCTTTTCTTTTATTTCCTTGAGCACGAGGTAAGTAGCGGAAACGTGTGCGCGAGTTTTCTAGTACGTTTCGCTCGAATCCATCCCTTTGCACATTATTTCCCGCAATTGTCCGTGGTAACGTGGAGACTAGCTTCTAAAGTCTCGCGTTTTATGGGTTGCGCCGTGAGAGGAAAACGTTAAAAACGACGGCGATAAGCCGCTAAGATGGCGATTTTGTATAAAAGAAGCGCAATGTGCGGCACGGCAAAGCGGCAAAAAGTCGAGCGAAATGTATTATTTTCTCATCGTAAAATAAATATATCTTCTCGAAGCTAACGCTACTTGCTGGTCATTTTATTTTTCTCTTCTCAAAGCAGTAACAAATATGTACTTTCACTCTTCTTCAAGGCATGGATTATTCAAATAAATCCCAAAGCGTATCCATCATATATTTTTGCATCGTCAGTGCACAGGACATTCTTTAACATTTGGTTGATACTGCTCTTGATCAGTGAAGGCACAGTGAAAGAAAATTTTTTTTGAATTTCCCTTCACAGATTTATTTATTTCTTCAGAAAAAAGAAACAGCCAATAATCATATTATCAGATTAAATAATACATGTTATCGACTAATCCAGTCCGATTATTACGTATTAATATTCGTTAATATATAATAATCAGACCTAATTAATCGTTACCAAATCGAGCTCATAAAAGAGAATATGGAATTCAATGATTCATGAAACGATTCATATTATAATTTTTTTTAACTGAAATTCTTTTCGATTATTCATTAATACAGTTTTTACAAGCTGATTAGACTGAAATATCCGGAAAAATGAGATAAAAAACCAAACAAATTTGTTCACAGAAGGTAACCTCATCGAAGTTAGTCCACCGAGTTATCCAGGAGGCGGTTACTCTCCGGGCCAATGGGTAACACCAGGTCCGACACCTAGCATCGACGAGTTGTGTCATAAATTCACGGGTCGACCGACGGAACTGAGGCTACCAGCGGCAACAGCTGCTGCTGCAGCGGCGTCAATAGCATCGAGAAATACGTCGTCTAACTCAGCAACGCTCAACGCCACTGGACATCTGCATCATCATCAGCTACAGCAGCAGCAGCAGCAGCAGCAGCAGCAGCAGCATCATCCGCAACCTAACCCTACAGCACTGACGAATACGGGGGTAGTGGTAGGCGCTGGCTCGTGTGTCGTCGTGGCGGGCGAGTGCCTCGACGGCGAGGCGATAAAGCGTCGTCTCATGGCCAACAGACTGCCCGAGAGCTGCGTCTAGAAGCTCTTTCTCGTGTGAGTTCCATGCCAGAGACCACAAAAGACTTCAAAGCGAGTGTGCATGTGCGCGCGCGTGTGTGTGTGCCGAGTGCGTCCCCTGATTTTGCCAAGCGTCGTACCGAAAGAATCCCACTCCTCTTTCCGTTATCGTCGTTTCTCCAGCTTACCTCCCGGTTGACAAGCGCCATGCTGAGGAGCGAGATCCGGCCCTGGAGTGCGGCGAATTCTCTGGAGGAGTGTCGCCGACTCTTTTCCGGAGGTGTGAAGGAAAAAAATTCGAGAGAGCTGCTTGACGTTTCGTGCTGTGAAAAAGAGTGCATACTCGGGGATCATGAACTGAGCGCTCTTCGCTGACTGACGGTTTGAGTTTCACTGCGACTATGACTTCACTTGTCGAGCTGCAATTATGATTTAGCAGTAATTTAACTTGTTGAAAGTTTTAGCTAACGTAATGTATACCCTTTTTCATTGGAAGTCTATATATCGCGATCCATCGAGAATAATGGGGGCTAGAAAATTAAAACTTGAAGAGAAAAGAAAATTAATGCACAATCTGAAGCGTTCAATTGACCCAGCTACGAATGAAATCTGAAAGAAAGCCGGTCATTCAAGCCACCGAGGTGGGGCAGAGGGAATGGGGAAGGGGTGTAGAATGGGGGTCGGGGGCAACGACGCAAATGCTCTACGCGCCTCTCTTTGAAATTAAAATTCAGGAATCCCAGCCACTATTGCCGAGAATGGAATTGTTCGATTTCTCAACTTCCCTCCTACTCCTCCCTATCCAACGGCCATTCATATCGAGCAGCCTACATTGAAGCCAAGCGTTGGTGACCCGCTTTGCCGACCAACAAACTCTCTCGTGGGAATTCAACTCCGACGTCTCCTTGTTTCCGTGAAGATCGTGTAAAAAACAGCTTCGTCTCCGCTTCTACTTCGACTTCTTCTGCCTCTTCCTCTTCTTTTTGTAGGCCGAAGCGCAGAAGGTTGAAAAAAAAATGTTTAGCTAACGGGGGCAAGCTCAATACTGATTAATTAAGACTAGTTTCAAGAGACTCGACGACAGACTTTTTCTTTCCCGTCGATGTACGCTTATTACAGACTTCATTTGCTTAGCTTTCAAGCGCTCTCGTTCCCTCGGCAAAAGTATCTTGAATTTCATTTCGAACCGGCTATTAACGACAAATGTCAAATTTCTTATCGACTCTATTCCCTCCTCCCCACTACACTTCTTGATTACAAATGCCTTTACAGGATATTTCGAGCAATGGAAGTTTTGTTATTACGTCTGCCGTTTGAACCTGTCGCTTTCAGCACAACTCTTAATCCTTCCTTCTTTTTTCATTTATTCAATGAGCTCAAATCGTAAATTTATTATTTATATATGTTCGTAATAACGGAAAACTTTCAATGATTGTTCGCCTATTAGGGCTTGCTTACGAACTGCAAACCATGAATACGGATATTTAAATAAACATAACTAAACCTAAGAAAAAATAACTAATTTACTTTATAAACTGAGTTTGTTCTACAATCAACTATCTAAGATTCTTTTTTATATTTGATAAGGCTGTTTTCCAAGTGGCTCAAATTTTTTTTTTAATTTGAATGAGTTTTTTCAAGTAATCAAATTAAAAAAGCTTCCCTATGGAATCCTTACGAATCGATTTATTAATCCGAAAAGGTGACTGATGTTTCGGTGACGTTTCGTATCACCTTTTTCAAGGCCTAAAAATCAGTCGAACGTTAGATTCTTGCCAAGCAATTTAACATATTATTTGATATAACCGAACAATAACACAAAATAAAACAATACATATCGTGAACTGTTAACGTCATTTCTAACAGAAATTGTCAGATTACTTACTTTTGTTTTGCATACTCAATAAACATTGATTGATACATCTGACAATTTTTGTTAGAAATTACGTAACAGTTCACAATGTGTATTGTTCTATATTGTGTTATTATTCCATCGTATCAAATGACGATACCAGAATGTGATATTTGATTACTTTTAGGCTTTAAAAATGGTCATTTAAAATGTTACCGAAACGTTAACCAACTTTTCAAATTAAAAAAACCAACTTGTAATGTTCCTAAGAGGAGAAATTTTTATTTAACTAATCAAAAAAATCAATTCTTATTATTTTTATCTTTCTAAAAATGATTGCTAATTATTATGCCTTTAAACATATGATGAATTAAAATATCGATTCAATAACTCTAAACGTATCACTAAACATATCAGTTCAAACTTGCAAGTGGCTCAATATCCTGATGATATTATCGATATACTATGTTCTCACTTATAAAAGTCAATTAAAAAGCTCAAATACAACATTTGATAATAATTGTATAATTATTATGTACACGATTATTTCAATTTACATGGATATATCATTTAATATTTTTTAATGGAGTTGACAGCCTATGTATTATTATGAAAATAAGTAAATAAATATTAAATAATTGACATTTTTAAATAAATTTATTAGTGAAAAAACGAAGAGACTGATGAAGCGCATATAAATTGCTACGGCCTATTATGCTATTTATGCTTCTACTACTCCTTATGTTAAAAACTAACAGCGATTACGTAAATAGTATACGCTATCCTATATAATTCATGCGTTTCTAATAATGATCTGACCTAGATGACTGAAATACATTAAACAAATAAACAAGAGTTATAATCGATATAAACGAGTTATTGCGAAGAAAAAAATCCATCTAGTTCGATAAGTAAAACTGAAAAGTACAACAAAAGCAATAAGCTGAGTAACTTTGAAGACAAGTCGGAGTTTGCAATTTCCTAGTTCACCCAACATATCGTGTGCGCAAGCGTGTATATCCCTGTTCAGCTTTATTCCCGGCAATTCGCATGTGTAAATCTCTCTCTATACTTTTGCGAAATTTCACCAAAAAGAGAGGCGCCGTAGCTATAGAGGCGGGAAATGAGCGAGAAGCCGGAAAACTGACCGCACTCGAAGCAGCAGTTAGGAGAGAAAGATAAAGAGCTTGCGTCCGTCTGCGAAAATCCTGAATGAAGATGGATGAAGAAATGACCTCGTGCGCGTTAGAAAGGAAGAAAATGGAGGAAAGAAAGAAAGAGATGAATGCTGTGCGCGTTCGCGTATTCCTTAATAAGAGCAAACCAAGTGATACATAAAATTCAATTTATAAATTACACAGGAACGTGATGATTTGTAAGAGGCTCTTTTTCTTGTCTTCTCTCACCCTCTTTCTCTCTCTCTCTCTCTCTCTCTCTCTCACTCTCTCTGCAGATCGTGCTCCCCACCTCCATAATCGATCTCTTCGCTAGTCAAAATCTAACAATACTATCGTCCAATTTATTGTGTTAGTGTTCTTTTTGCTTTCTCGTCAATCTTAATGTATATAAAATGCGAGTAATGATTGACGACAACAATCATTGACGTTTTATGTCTAATAATGTTTATAGTCTAAAGGCCGTTATGAGATTTCATCTGGATTGATAGCGACTGATATATATATACATATATATATATATACTTCAATCCTTTAATTATACTCGTAATGTATATTCATTAATATAGTGCGTTAAACTAAGCATCAGGAATTATTTACGGTTGTATATAATACATGATTGCTCAATCGAATATTTGTTGTTGTTTTTCATACGTTTGTCTAATAACAATTCATTATGTTATACACATGTACATATAAATATGTGAGAATGTGTGACTATGAAAGCGGGCGAATATTACGCATATTCTACGTAATTGAATAATAAATAAATTTAAAAAAATCTAAAACTTTATCTGTCAGACAACCTGTATGTATAATTATTGATCGAGCGCCGGAAGATATATTCAACATTTATTATTCATCAGCGGAAAAATTTAAGTGTTTCATTTAAACAAGTGGTCATTCGAATATTCTAATACTGTCAATGAGGATTATATCTTGTTTGAGTCATCATCGTACAAGTTCATCAATACTCACTGTCTTAGATATTTCGATATGATCCACACTTTTGAGGAGCTTCTTAACAAACGACTTTCTCCTAGCTGGTACAATTCAGAGCTACAGACATGTTTGAGATTTTTTCTTTGACAGTACTTGATATTTCGACTGACGGAGAAGGAAAGAACGGCACGTGTACTTCTTTTTATGACGAGATAACGAAAGCGCTTGTTACGAAGGTGTCTTCGAATATTCCGATGCTGTCAATGAAAGGACTTTTCTGCAAGATAAATATCCTGTACGTTTGAAAAATATACGAACATAAATTTTTCAACTGATACTCGTACGTGTACACGGTTTTAATGAATTTCTCGACAATGCAACTTTCTTCAATGAGATACGATTAAAGCAAGCCTAGAGACAAGTCAGAAAAGCTGTTCGTTGACAGCACTCGACATCTGAAAATGAACTCGCTTTCTTACATGAGAATGACGAAAACGCTCGTTACGATATCGTCTCGGATTTTTATGTACATATCTAGAACGTAGGAATAATTCCAAGTATGTCGCGAGCGTGTGTTTGCATGTACGAGTGTATGCCATAGGAATTCGAGGCGAGATAGCAATCTCTCAGTAACATGGAGGGGCGGAGGGTGGCAGGACTGTTGCTAAAGCTTATCCGATAATTCCGAAGCGTTGTATTCTTCGTGTGCGCGAATGCGAGCTGAAATTGCGTCTTGCGTTCGGCGGATATAACGGACGCGCTGTTTATTTTCTCCTCAACGTAACGAGCACTTTTTTAAATCTATGTTAATACCTATGTTAATACTTTTTACAAATGTACCCTACACGTCACTGCCTGAATATACTCCATGTATTTCAGTCGATGAAAGTATATTTTCTATGTATAATCGTGTACAAAGAGCATGCTGCGTGATTTCGTTTTTCAATTTTTCACTTTTTAAGATTGCGAACGAAGGCTGTTGACAATGTAGTGGAATAATGAAGCTCTCGTGCAGCGACAGCTGTATCTAATTCAGATTAACGAGAGAGACTGAAAGCCTATTGTACAGAAAAATCGAGTAACATCGATACTCAAGGTATGTAAAATAACAACGGTATATTACTGTGCATCCATTCCCCATGGATTATTCAATAATAGCATTAAATAATCATCCGTAGATACGCAGATATCGACTCTAGTGCATGCCTGACAGTGTAATTGACGAGTAAGAGAGTGTTTTTGAAAAGAGCGTGCTAGTAAGGCCTCGCTGTGTATATCGTATAATAATTATATTATTGTTGATGAAATCTTGCGTTTTACCGATGGAGTGTGCCGTCCCGAGTGAAGCGCTTCGAATTATATAAAAAATATATAAAATATGATCCGGAGGGAGAAGTGGATGATGCTGAGGAAACAACAATGATAGTAACTTAATCAAAGAAAGTGTATATATCGTCGATTAACTTTTTGAAAGACTGGGGTGAGAAAAAAAGTCCATGTAAATTATTGATGATTGATGCAGTAAACGAGGAAAAAAAAGTATGAGGTTATTGAATTTAAAAATAAAAAAACTCATACAAAGACTTGTCACGCAAAGTGAGCGATTTCATATCGATCGTGCGTATCGACTAAATAATTCATATGTATATAATATATACAGTTTCGATCTGAATAAAATGTTTACCTGTCAAGTACTGTGTATATCTAAGTTTGCTTTCGTCAAATTCTTTACCTTTTCCTCATAATTTCCTGTTTCTGATGGTCTTGAAAATATCATCCAGAAATAAGGTAAGATTTTATTATTACTATTTGGTTAATATTATACGATTTTTCTGGGCATTTGTTTCGAAAAAAGTAAACGATAAAAAATGAAAAGCTTAAAAAACCTCGGAAGTTTGTATATTGCTTCTGTCAAAATTCGATTTGTCGGGAAGACTAAAATATTTGTACCCTTCTCTTTGCAGAATCCAAATCAATTTCTCGCGCTTCTCCAGTCTCTCTTTCGAACACAAAGTGAATCACGAGATCGACGGCTTTTCGTCCTGTAAAAACCACTTGTTATCTGATCATTTTCTCTGGACGAGCCACGCTGCGTTGTCTCAAATGGAAAATTAAGTTTGAATGCACAAATATTAAAGGAGAAAAGAGTTGGGCATCCTTGTCGTCACGTCGAGTGACAAACGACAAATGAGATCAGCATTTTCTGTTTCCGCGTGGCAGCCTCTGGTGACAAATGGTATAGAGCACAGCAAGGATTCCCTTGAGCGACCGGCCCAGATGCCGTGCACAACTATCAACTTCGCTCTTTTTAACTTTTTATTGCAACTCGACCATCCATTTCCGACTAGTGGGATAGACACTAGATAGCTTTTCAATTAATGTTTTCGAAACTGACTGGTTCTCTCGAGTAAATCGAGGAACCGAAAGGCTATACTGCCCAAAGTTGCTTGACTTCCTATCGATTCTCGACTTCTCTAATTGCGCGAGGCTCTTCTCTTATTTCTCTGTGAAAACAAACAGTGCTCAGCTTATTCATCTAAACTTATCAAGAGGTAAAAAAAGGCTTTCAGCTTTCAGATGAAACTTATGAGAAAAAATAGCTCGCGTCTTTTCTTTCATACAAACGTTCATTCTCGTACGTTATACATTCTCATTCTCTGATGTTGTTATTTTGTGTGTTTTTCTCATTCGGTTTGTTCAGCATACTAGATGCCTCTTTTCCTCTTCCTATCTACCAGATGAAAAGTTTAAAGCTTCTATAAACTAGGATTCAGCGTAAGCTATTTTTGGAAAGCTGAAAGACTTACACACAGTTAGCCACCGAAGGGAAAAAATGCTGCTTTCGGGATATTCTTCCAGTTGGAAAGCAGTGTGGAGCTATTGCATTGCTGACTCTTACTTTACTCCACGCATACGTGCTTGTTTCTCTGTTACGCGCGTCGAGGTGAAGCATTCAGGACTTTCGCACAAGCTTTTACTACAAATAGAATAGATTATTTCGAGACTTGCATGATAAAACATGAGTATTTCGATGTAAAAGATTATAAATGATTGAGATGCAAATGATCGTTACGGAGTTATATAAATATAATGCTTTTCAGTCTGCTACTCATTGTGTGGAAACCAAATAAAAAAATTAATGATGTTTATTTACGTACGCTAAATGCAATTACGGAAATAGTAGGACTTGGAAATGTATATCCAAAAATTTTGCAACAAGTAGAAATTATTATTACGGACTGAGCGTAATCACTTTTAAGCTTTTGGATCGAAATATTCCCGTTCTATGATGGCTTAAAATAGATAATCGAACTAAATTATAAAACGTACGGCGCACTTTCAATAGACACTATTGTAACGAACACGATGGTTAATTTATAGGTTCACAAGAACGAAGTGGAGTTGAGTAGACTATTGCCGAAAGCACAAACGCAGTATCTCCTCGCTCCTGCCTCGCAGGTCTTTCAGCCCTCGCAAGCACAAATTAATGACATAATCAGCGCAAGCTTAAGCGGCGCTGGAGCGACGCAGCGAGTGTACAAGAAACTGTCGTAAAACAGCACTGAGAAAAAGAAAGAAAGGCAGGCAATGGCGCAGTGTCCCCTGGAGGGTGCAAGCCACCGGAGGATCGGACCCGTAGATAAACTGTTTTTCTTCGCAGGCCGGAAAAATCTAGCCTCGCCTCGGGGCAAGGACGCAGCCGTTCGTTCGCTCATTGGCTTTAATTTGACGCCAGGCAAACGAAACTCGTAAATGGCCGAGACACGAACGCCGCGGTGTACGCTCGCCCAATGTACAAAGAATTCCCTTTGTAATTACTTTCCATTGATTGTGTGTACTCAGGCATTTTTCTAAGAGGATCTCTCTCTCTCTCTCTCTCTCTCTCTCTTCCTCTCTCTCTCTTTGACCCACTGTATCTGTCGTCGAGATACCGTCGAGGAATTCGTTGATTGCACGCTTCCTCCGTCGACGCTACACGGGCAATTGTATTGAAACTTCCGTTTCAAAGACCTTTCTTAGTCCTTTGAAAATTGTCGACGACTACAGTTACGAATTTTTCGGTTCATATTGCTACAACTTTCAGCAGAATAAACTTGAGCAAGAAGAAGCTAGCATGATGAACATTATGGTTTTCAAAGTCGTCTACATTTTATACAACGTCCAGAGTACTCAAAGGCTTGTTAAGAGCACCTTAAAAAATGCACATATTTAATCATAATATATAAATGCATAAATGTACATATAAAAAGTCAACAAATATATAAACAAAATGCGCAATTGACGTAAGCTTGATGCCAAAGTCAGAGAAGCTTTTTTCGAGAAAAACGCACTGGATTCTCGTCGAAAGAGGCCAGAAGCAAAAGAGAACATAAGAAAGAGAGATCACTTAAGATGCAGCTCAACAGGGGAAATTCCAGGAAATGTTCTCTCGAACAGTTTGAGAAATGAATAAAACTCGTACGGAATTTTAATTTCGTAGAGAACTAGTCGCGCTGGTTGACAGCATAGTGCGCCGCGCCCGCGCTATAGAAACGAGAAGGAAACAAGCTGAAACAAAAAGCAAAAAAAGAAAGAACGGAAAACACGGATAAGAACGGGCAAAAAAAAGGAGAAGGTGGCTTGAGCTGGCATGATTGGAGGGATGTGTGCAATCGGGAGACAGCGTCCTTCGCTCGAGGGCTTTAATACAAAGAACCCGGTAGTTTGATTAATATTTGAATAACTAATGGCGGTGTTCGCTCGAAGGGCCGCTTTAACGAACTGGCGATAGCGCCAGAGGAAATCAGTTTACCGCTTGTTCGCTCACTCGTCCTTTCTTTGAACCTCGCTCCGTTTTTCTCTCGGCCGATGTCTCGTTTTTATGATCGCTGCGACATTTACGTAACGATTTCCACTTGGCTTTTAAAACCACGAGAAAAACGCTATGGTAGTGATCCCTTGTTTATCATTATTGTGTATTCACCAATACTTAGTGTGCATTTCAAATAAAGTTTTCAAATGTTCATAGTGCAGCTTGAAGATAAAATCACTGGATTAGAATGTGCTAATTTTTGTAAGAATTATTATAATTCTGATGTCATTTCCTAAGGACTAATTTAAAAGACATAAGAGGTAACTGAAAGGGCTGTTGTATTATAACAAACTGGATGCGACACAATTTTACAAAGCGTACAGGCTCAAGTCTATCTGCACGACAGCATACAAATACAAAATTTTTAACGAGCCTTGAAAATATTATTTCTTTTTTTTCTTCTTCTTGTCGTCCTCCTCTTCTGGTTCACATGGAGGATACAACAAGTCATACATAGCCTTGCTCATTTTTAAGGTTCCACCAGCTAGTCCTCCTATGATAGTCAGAACTACGTGATTGTAACAATCCAGTATTTTGAACTTCATAAATTGTAAGCTTGGCATTGTAGGCTGTAAAAGTGAAGTTTTCATCCAACAATTAATTGAACAATGCAATCATTATCATAGTAAACCAATCGAAAAAGCGAGAACAGTCACAAAGCATCTTGGCTAACGAAATCACTTACCTCGCCTAGTTGAGGATTAGTGGCGATACTATCGCGTATCCTGAAATAAAACTCTTCAGAGTCGTGGCTGTCACCCCAAATTCCCTGAGCGACCGTCCAATACACAAGGCCGGCGGCTAGCGCCCCTTTAGCCCCAAGCACCATCCAGCTGCACACTACCTGCTTCAGCGTTTTCGGTGGTGCCTTTTGCGGGCAATCGCAGAACTGCGCACATAAAGAGATCATGCGGATAGTCAGTAAGACAACGAAAACCGACATTATTAATACGATTCACATGAACGCAACCTGGATAACAAACACTCGTAGGTATACAGAAGCAACGGTACTTTATCTTTTTTCTGTTTCTCCGAAATTGTTGGAAATACGAATACGCATATCGCGTAGAGTTCCTTACATTGTTAACAATATTTTTTCTCTTCTTCACATGTTGTTCAAGTAAAATCATCGATGTCTGTATGTATTATTGTTGCTGTAGATACGAATTCAGTAGTTAATTAATATGTGTGGTCAGACAGAATAGACAAATAGATGACAATTCACGATAATACGATGGCTACAATCGCGGTAATTATGTTTTCAAACAATAAATAACAATTGATGGTTACGCATTTCTAGTAATGACAATTCCTGTCAAAAATTGATCCAACACTCATTCTCACATTTGTTGCACATATGGCTGCCTGATTTCAGACTCATTACTATTACGTTGTAAACTATAACATATGAAAATTAAAGCGTAAGTTGTGATTTGAAATCTTTATAAAATCAATTGACGTTTCAATAATCTCCTAATAACTCCAAAAGTCATCAGTTTATACATCGATATCTAATGATAAATTCTGTGAAGAAAGTGTACCAGTAACAATATGACGGTTGAGAGAGAACGCATAAACGAGCGGCGTTCATCTACAACTCTTTGAGCAAAATAAATCGACTGGCGATAGTAGCAACAGCTGTTGAATGCACATGCAGTGGCGTGGAGTAAGGAGACAAAACTAATCAGGCCGCGCTAGCAGTGGACGAAGTACTCGTCGAACGTGAGAGGAGAGAGGGGGGGGGGGGGGGGAGAACGGAGTCTGCGAGTTTAATTAAAGCTCAAGCTTATCAGTCAATGAGACAACGACAACATCGATAGGTGGCGACGTGGTAGCCTTCATCACGTAGCACTGGAGATGTCCTTCTACATTAGCGACACACCGCATCGGTCGAGTGTCGGGCTAATTTCAGGTAAACGCGACGACATATCGACTCGAATTCCCCCGTCGTCGCGTTGCGGCCAAGTGGACAAAGTTATCACGCCCAACGACGACGACGACTGACCAGAAAATCGATAGACGCGTTTACTATCACGGCGTGACCGCCACAAGCTTTTCGTGGTTTTAAACGAACACCGATTGAATTTAATGTTTCGTCAAAGTGGCTCTATCAGCCTTCCATGAAGGTAATGTTTACTAAAGCAGTAGCGACCTGTATCTGTTTTCAAATAAGTAAGTTACTCAGATAACTTATGTAGCTTAAAAATGAAGCACTTGGGCAAATAAAGCCTCTAATAAAATATTGATTGTTTGAAGAAACGTTGTTGGAGTAGTTGTTCTAGAAGCGGCATTGTTGTTTGAGAAAAGGCAAACTAAGGTACTGAAGTAGCCCGCATCTTGGCGAAAACAAGCTATCCATCTAAATAACCCAGTTAGAGGCGCTATTGAAGCTTCATGACATACATGACGGAAGTAGCAACGGACGTTAATTCAAGATCTTAAATGGGCGCTCAGCAAAAGCTGCCCGAAATTACGTGGCAGCTTGCGCTGCACGCTGCACACATATACATCTAGGCCATTGCAAGAGCAAGGCAGAAACCTGCGCGCGGCTCAAAATTAACGCGTCGTCGCGCTGCCAGCGCTGCTAATTTCCCATTGTTACGGATATACCGTGCGCCAAAATGTTACGCACGACGCGTATACGCCCAACGATAAATTGGTTTTCGCCTCGTTAAGCCTCGAATTTGTCCTGCGCTACTTCCGATTGTTGTTTTGCGCACTCACCCTCCCACCACTGTCATGCAAATCTTTTGCGATGTATCCTAGCTGCACCAGCTTTTGTTTGAATTTGTAAGAGAGAGAGAGAGAGAGAGAGAGAGAGAGAGAGAGAGAGAGAGAGAGAGAGAGAGAGAGAGGAGAGAGAGAGAGAGATAGCGAGAGAGCGTGAGAGAGAGCGAGAGAGAGGGGGGGGTAACTTTACTTTTCATTATTTTTTTTCTTCGTGTCTGGTTATGGCCAGACATTACCGTATTTCACAAATTTTTACCTACATAACGCACTTTAGCGCTTTCTTTTGGCAAATGTTGTTCTCTAACGTGAACGTATGACCCAATATATAAATTAAAATTATGCATTTACTTATTTGGGGCTGTACTTTGTAAAATATACAACTAATTAAATTTCGGATGTTGCATTTTAATTTGATCAGTCGAAGGCTCATTATTTCGTATGACGTAATTATTGGGTTTGTATCCATCATACCAAACGGGAAAAGTCCAAATTTAAACTGGTACAGTGCTTATTGGCCCAAATAGTTTATACGCCAGTCTTTTGAGCGCGAAATTAGCTCAGCTGAATTGCATAACCAATGAGTACGTCTCTCAAACAAATTTAACCTAATTTCACGTATAGATAGTTGGAAATAACCTTTGGCTGACAGGCTCTTTCAAGGTCTTTTCTCTTACAGATCCGCACGGGAACAGCTCGGGTGGGTTGGCAGCTCGTGGGTAGTGCCTCGGCGTGCGGACAAGGTTTCGACACGTCGGCACTGACGAGCTTTTGGGGCCTTGAGCAAGGCTCCGCGAGATTGATTGTCCTGGCTATGGTATGAGCGCCTCGTATGAGCTGACGCAGTTTCGACATCGTGTCAATTGTTGCACGATTGCTTTTTATATCCTTTCACGCCGTTGATTTTTTCATTATTCAGACTTTACTTCAACGTACGAAGAATTTACGTCCACGTGTGAATTTTTTTCGCTATAACCTTGAATAATGTGTTATTTTCGAGTGAAGTACACGGTAATTTAGATACTTTCAGATAGGTCACTGTTTTGAAATTGATGATAGTACAAATAAGTGTATGATAAATGTATCGAATAAATTTAGCGTTCGTAAAATTATACGTTTCTCATATATTCAACATTCACGTTTGCTAATATCCATATTCACTCATATACGTGAGCTAAGAATTTTCTCAAACATATTAATGAAAATATGATTTTATCAATTCACATTTTCAAATAATAAAACGATATTAATTTAACGATAATAATCCAATGGCAGAGCAGCTCATTTTTTTGTATTAAGATTTTCTACAACGAGTAATAAATCAAACGTATCAATAATTGATATTGACTTATCAAATACGCGTATTTTCAGAAACGAAAGTGATGCGTACGAACATAATGGTGCATTCGGTACAGATTCTATAAATTTAAAAATACATTACCGTTATTAGTTTTTTATACTAATTCAAAAAATATCGTGGAATATAACAACAGTTTCTGGTTAACTTCTGTTAGTTAACGTTGGAAAGTAACACGGCAAGCACAGAATATGAAAAATCTAAGATTAAGCGGACGCTACGAGAAGCTTAATGAAATTGAATTTACAACTAGGCTCCTCACGCGATTTCTTATTCATCAACGCTTTATCAAATCTTATTCATCAATTTAGAAAAAGTTGTGAAATTTCCATCTGTAGTGCCATTCCGCTTCCTCTTCTCGTTCGCTGGCTTACAGTGAAAGCAAAATTTAAGGATTCAGATATGCGCTCTCGAATTCAATTTTCCAGAAAGCGCATAAGCAAGCAACACGCCTCTTCGACCGTTTCAGGTATGGTATGCTACTGAAATCACCATTAATAATTATTTATCCATTCAAATTGAGAGCCGTGAGTCAAAACTATATTTATGATTGTGGTTGATTCAGTAATAAGTTTAGTGTAACCCAGAAAAATAATCTGATTAAATACTGATTGTATCAACTTGAATATTGTTAGAAACAAGTTTGCTTGCTCATGTGTACGAAGATCAAAGTACAGTAATCATACAAAAACTGAGAATATTTTGCATCTTCTTTAAAATATGTTCCTCTTTAGAAGATGAATGTATAATCAAAAAAAAAAAATAATTATAATATAAGTTTACTAAAATAGAGTCAACGCCACTCCACTAAAACCGTCGAAAGTGAATCATCAACTCATAGACTATGATTTGCACTGCTTTTAAAAAAACAGCTTGTCAATCTAAAATATTCATTGCATCATTTTCCAAACTCAATTCATGGATAAGTCTGCCTAACTAGTTCAGTCAATAAATAGCAAGTGTGTAATTTTTCTAAAAACAAGAAGTAAAGAGAAAGGCGGAATAAGGGAAGAGGGCCAATGACAAGAAAACACTCGTTGTAACGATGAATAATGAGTCGTTAAGAAAGCTTTATGGCACAGACACATACTCACAGGTAGTTCACGAGGGTTGCTTGTATATATCGGTAAAAGACTGTCGCGTGAAGCCGGTATATATCACCTTTATCGCAAGCAGCCACTTACCAGGTCTGTCGATGTGTATACATGTATTAATGGGCAGCATGAAGCTTCGCTTTTTCACCTCTACCAAATATAACGTAAACCACACACGCAAGTCTCTTTGCAACGAGAACTTTTATTTTACCGCGACTGAGCTCAGAACAAGCTCACTTGTCATTTCAAAAAAGGTGTCGAAAAAATATTTTTTTTCAGGAACACGAACGAGCATCTATCCATGTGATAACAAGCGCAAACTGCATGCTTACTTGAAGAATGAAGATAAGAAAAATATTTAATAATTTTTTTACAAAAGAGTAAACTCGAAATAAACCTTAAAACCTCTCTTGAACGTTGGTGACTGAATTTTTACTGGAAAATTTCTCAAACTTAGTTTGTCAATCTTTATTTTATCGATTACTATTTATGATTTCTAAAGTAAAGATGAAAATAATTAAATGTGAATTCATTATAAGCATAGCTAAACGTCATGATTCATTATCAGTATCGTTTTAATGAAATTTTGCAAGGTAACAAAGAATGCCTTACTCAAGGTGCAAATATTACGCTGAGATTTTCCAAGATTTACTGCATCGATAGTGAGAGGGGGGGGGGGGAGGAGACGAGAGAGCAAGCAAGCAATTATAAAGAAGATTGTTCATAACGAAGTACGATTCGAAATTGTCTTGATCGTTGAGGATTACTTTAAAAAGAGTGTCTATTTATAGCTATCTCTCGCCACGCTGCGAGACGAAATGAAGGATCGCGTGATGGAAAAAAGAAAAATTGAACGCTAGAAGGAAAGCCCTGCTTTTACGAGCCGTTGCTGCTACTGCTTGAAAACGCTGCAATTACCTGCTTGACAATTGAGCGTTAAGTCGAAAAATAATTAATTTATAATTAATAGACGCGACTTCAAACCTAGCGTAAATCCTGTCTCTTTTCTCTTATAACAGGAGAACCAAGCTTCACCTTGCCAATAGCAGCTTTCATCTCTCGATGCACCTTGACACTTCTCGAAAGCTCCAACACTGGCACTATTATAACGGTATATAAGTACACAAAACGTGAATTTCATGTTCAGATCCATCGTTCACAATATAATTCTAACAATTAAAATTATATCTTGTGAAAGTAAAGTCTTAATATTAATTTAATATACTATATGTGTCAAGAATAGTTCCATTAATGTTTCAACGCTTGTACGTGTGCGTAAATAATGATGTATGTATGTATTATGATTTGGCTGGAATATTAGATACACTGCAAAAAACCAACAAGATGCTTTTCATTTCCTGTTATATCAGTCAACAAATCAATACATTGCATTTATAAAGTAATTACTACCTCATGAGTATCAATGTACTTGACAATATTAGCTCTTTACACTGAAAAAAAATGAGTAAGCGATTTGCTATTCTTTCGGTAAATGAATGTAGATTGAGCACACGCAGAGAAAAATAAGCATATTGCAACTATTCAAGTTGACGAGTATTTCGCTTACGTACATTCAACGCGCAGAGTTTTTAATTTCAGTCAAACTTTATACTTGCTTGTCACGAGCATAGGCAAGTTTAAGAAAAAACAGCAGACAGCAAAAATAATATGCGCTTGCTTATTTACATAAATATTCGGAAGTTACATAAAAGGCAAACGCAGAAGCAGCAAGCAAAAAGAAGAGAGTGAAAAAGAAAAAGAGAGAGAGAGAGAAACAAGAAGAGGCCAGGCCATATATCGAGAAGCGCAGCTGTAGAGCGGCGCTTTGCAAAGCAAGAAAAAACATCAAGGGAGTAGGGGAAGAGAGTAGTACAGCAACTACAAAAGAAGTTCTTCAGTTGGCCAGAGAATGGCCACTTCTGCGCTTTGTTCTATCGGCGTGGCATTTTTACCTCTCCCTTGAATTCCTCGTTCGTTATTCCTCGCTTGATGACAGTCGAATTTTGCCAAGCTCTCGCTCACACAAAACGAAAAACTATCCAGAGAGAGAGAGAGAGAGAGAAAGAGAGAGAGAGGGAGGGAGAGAGAAAGAGAGAACGAGAGAGAGATAAAAGTGCGCAAAGAGAGAGAGAGAGAGAGAAAGTGCTGCTCTGGATAAATAAGGTATCGTTAAAATCAGACGCACGCATGCACGTAATGGACAAAGAAACGAACTATACAGATAGCTGCAGATGATGGAAAGAAAAAAGTTGTCTACTAATTTTAGCCATTCTATCTCAGAGATAGTGGAATTAGCTTACCTTCGTATGAGTTTAATTAACTTTCTGGAAAATATGTTTTTCAAGAGTTTAAACTGTTTTAAATTATATATTAAAAAAAAAAAAACGAATTCAATTATTTTTACATGCCATTCGGAGGTGATATGATTATTATATTTGCACGCGGCAAATATTGATAGTGATTTCAATGCATTCGAAATTTATATCAGTTGTGTAAATTGGAACCGTAAATCCCATACACTAAAATTAATTCAATATCCAAAGTGTTAGTTTAATTATCATCTTTATACATTCTTCCATACTTAATGTCCAAAAACTGCAACAAAATTATGACGAAACAGCAACTACATCATTAAAGTACATAAAAGTAAGAAATTCGCGAGAGGGCAACAAAAAAAGAGTATAAAAGTATAAAAAGAGAGATGAAAATTACGGAACTGTGGAATTCGCCGGATGGCGCTATGAGAGAAAAGAGACGAAAGAGGTGCGCGCTGCGTTCTCTCGTACGTGTTCCTCTCATTCCAGTGGCGGGCAGAATCCGGCAAAATCACCGATTCCTTCCTGAGAAAATCCCCGAGCCTATAGACCTCCTTCTCTTTATCCCCTCCCCCGGTTCGAAAGCGGCATTCCACTCTCTCGGATTTTTGGACGACTGCCAAACTATTCGCGCGGTGGCGGCAATGGCAGCAGCATCAGCTACGGCTAGTGGCATCGAACGTGAGAGGCTGGGAAATGCGGGAAAGCCAGGTAAACTGCAAAATATTTGTCAATCGCACGCGTGGCCTCTTTAAAGGACGACGCCGCCGCCGCCGCTGCCACCACCACTATACCACGAAGCCTCGTCGCTTGGCGTTAAATACCACAATGTACATCGAGGCTTTCTCAACGACTTTCCTCTCGAATAGCTCAAATGACTATTTGGGATTTACTAATTCCAACGATAGATTTACTTACTATTGTGTTCACATGCAACAGTTCATTTTCATACTCATTTTTTGATTTACTGAACATTTAGCGATGTGTTTAAGTAGTCAAACCTGATATGGTCAGACTAGAGAAATGCCTATTTGAAAATCACATTTACATTGCAAAAAATCATGTTTGGAAGGGTATCGCAAGCAAATA